GATTCATTCATTTTCACCATAATCTTTACTCCCTTCCTCATGCTGTTCTGGTCTCTGCTCTTTTTATGGTTTCTCAAGATAGAAGTCATTAATTTTTGGATATTCTTTTAAGATTTAAAAAAAATTGTGTGTGGGTATTTGCCTGCATACATGCATGTGTACCACACATGTACCCAATGGAGATAGAGTGTGTTGGATCCCTTGGAACTCCAAATATAGATGGTTGTGGGTGCTGGGAACCAAACCTGAATCCTTTGTAAGAACTGGGCCATCTTTCCATCCCTTGGATCATTGAAAAAATAGTTTTGTTCTTTATTTGAAGATTTATTTATTTATGCATATGCTTGAGTGTATTGATAGACAGGAGGTTGTGAGTCATCAATTGGGTGTTGTGGAATAAAGCAAGAGAAGTTAGTGCCTTTAACAAGCAACTCATCTCTCCAACCCTCCATATTTTTAAAGAGCTATTTATAACCACGGAGTTCCTTGTTAGCAGTTTTAGCTCTATCCTGCAAGTCTTTGTGGTCTCAGTTTTCCCTCAGAGTTTGTTTGTTGGCCATTGTTAAGTCACGAGAGTGTTGATTTCTAAACATATATGGCTTGCTCAAGTCTATTTTTGTTGCTTATTTTTAATGTCATCTCATCAAAGTCAAAGAACATTTTGTGTGTCATTTCAATCTTTTTAGAAGCTCTGAGATCCAATACAGGAGCTAGCATATGGTGTATCTTGGTGAATACTGCATGTCTGCTTAAGAAGAATGTGTTTTCTGTCATCTTGGGGTGGAGAGTTTTATATAGATGTCTGTCAGGGAGAGTGGTTCAGAGTGTTCTTTGTGTCTCCTAGTTCCTTATTGATTACCTACCTTTTATACACTATTTTATACACAATGTATGGTGACATATATAAGTACTTAGAAATAATTTTATTATTTTTAGCTGTTATTGAAAACATTACAGAACAGATTCGATGGTTCCACATTGTGGTTTGAAATTTATCCCAACTGTAGGTTGAGTGAAACTACAAGTGGGAAAGGCTGTGGAAATCCAGAAGTTTCAGCATTTCCTTAGCGTCAGACTCTTCCTCAAGTGATCTCCTGACCCAGGGCTGAGACCCTGGGGACATAACTATCCTTGCTCCTCCCTTCCCATCCTGCAACTTGATTGGGCTACTGCTCCTAGGACCTATCTGAATCCATTTCTTCAGCTGCATGACATTGCCTGCTAGCTTGTCATGGAACTTCCTGCCAACGATCATGGTGATCTCCAGATCTCCATGCACATGTGACTGTTGGTGTGGAAGTCCTTAACCGGGTATGTGTAGTACTTCTTGAGGGTGATCCAGGCTGGCTTCTTCAGAGTGTCGGTGTAACTTCACAGCCTTGGCATGAATGTGGCCCATGTTGGAGGATCCTGGTAAAAGAGAAACATAGCCATCATCATCATCATCATCATCATCATCATCATCATCATTATTATTATTATTATTATTATTATTATGTTGCCTGTTTTCTCTTCAGTTTTGCCAGTTATTGCCTCATACCTTTTAGGCTTTCTTTTTGGGTTCATATATGTTTACAGTTGTGTTTTTCTGTCAGCTCAGACATTTTATTCTTATTAAAAAGGTTCTCCTTTGTGCCTAGAGACTGGCTGACTTAGTCTTGGGATGGTGCTGCCACCCCTGGCAGCTGTATCCTCAGGCACAAGTGCATCCATGACCCCAGCACTAATGACTTGTTCCTGGCTTTCCGAACCAGTCATTTTACGGAACTTTTTTTTTTTTTTTGGTTTTTCGAGACAGGGTTTCTCTGTGGTTTTGGAGGCTGTCCTGGAACTCGCTTGGTAGTCCAGGCTGGTCTCGAACTCACAGAGATCCACCTGCCTCTGCCTCCCGAGTGCTGGGATTAAAGGCGTGCGCCACCAATACCCGGCTCCGAACCAGTCATTTTAAGCTCTGTATAAGGCAGCATTCAGAACTTACTCTGGCAAGTTCATACCCCCAACAAGTTCCTCTCTCTCCAGTGTTTCCTTTACTGCTTATGCCAGGTGACCTTTCTTAGTACCCCAAACCAGACAGTTAAAGTGGCTTTAGGCTTCAATTCTCCTAAACTAGCACTGTTTGTTCAAAATGAAGTATTTGAGAGAATCTCTCTTATGAGAGCGCTTACACAGTTTTAAACATATCCAACTTTGTTTTATCCAATTAGTAATTTTAGGGAAAAAATAACCTAGTATTCAAGCATTCGTAGTCTCCAACTGAATATGCAGTTTTCATTCTATACCACAAAAATATAGCTAGCTATGCACCATGGCACATATACTCCTCTAGCTTCCTGGTGTTTTGAACCTGCCCAGCCCAGGGCCCCAGATCTCATCAGTGAAGTCTTGGTGAGTAATTAGTTTATGGGGCCCAGCCAGATATGGAAGCTGGTGGCCAGGCACCTGAAGGACATCGCTGGCTTTGCTGCTCTTTACTCCACCCAGCACTGCCAGATAACCAACAGGGGATCCTCGGGAGCAAGGGAAGCACAGATCCGTTCTTTATAAGATTCATTATTTTCCAGACACCAAGGGTTATGTTGGGTTATTTGGGATGGTGTTGATCTGGGTTACTGGCTCTTTACCATTTAGAAGTATTTTCAGAGACATGTTTTTAGAAGAAAAACCCATCTTTATAACCAAACCCTTCCCTCCCTCCTCCCCCCCCTTTATCTCTCTGTTTCTCTCTCACAAACACACACGCGTGCGCACATGTGTGTGCACACACGCACACACACACATACACACACGTACGCACACGTGCACACAGATATAGGGCACCTAATGTTCTACACAGAGTCTAGAATCTCAGGAGTGACAGAGTCCAAGATGTTCTCTCAGTACGTAGCCAATGAATGCATTCCCATGGAAATGTGGCTGGGACCAAGGATACAAGCTTGCTTTCTTTAATGCGTGCATCCAAACATGATGGAGAAAGGCACATTTTGGAGAGCCAGACCATCTGGCTTTAAAACACACGCTGAAAGTAAGAATGCTGGCAGCACCGCCACCTGTGCACTGTGTTCGAGACTTCCTAGCTGCTGTCTCTTGTCCTCTTTCTACTTCTCCCCTACCCCTGGGCATCACTGTCTGCTTGTAGGAGACCTTGACGGAAAAAAAAAAAAAAACTCAGGAAATTTAAAGAGTCACACTGCTCCTGAGTTGGAGGCTGTGACTTGGGGGAGGATGCAGGGTCAGTGTGTGTGACCCCACGAGATAACCCCAGTCATGATGTAAATCGTCTGGGCTCAGATCTGTGTTTGAAGAGCAATGTATCTGACAAAGACCTTCAGAAAAACAGCAGGCTGCTTTGGGAAGCCATGGGCTTTCTGGTTCCGGAGACGCTGCAGCACAAGCTCGACAACCACTCCTCAAATGCTAGCATTCCTCTTCGTCTCTGGGGCTGAGAATCACACAGATGAGAACTAACTCAGAGCACCTCCAGGGGCCAAGCAGATGGCAGCACCGAATGAATGGTGCTGTGTAGACTCAAGGTTGAATCGAAATGTCCAACTTTGAGGAGGCTATGACTTAGTGTTGCTGGGTACCGTCACTCTGTGGGACAGCAGCCTTCACACGTTGTCCCTAGCTGTTGTGAGAACTAGAACTTGGTTTTGGCCAAGGTGGGCAAGGCTTCTGGTCTCATGGTGCATCCACTTTGTTAGTTTGTAGAAGGTGGGCGGTAAACAAGGGAACAGGCATAGTCATGTGCCATAGACTGAAATGGCTGCTGGGAAGGAAGGGCGCAGGTAGGCTCCTGAGGACCGAGCGCTCAGCGCCCTCATTTCTAGGACCATTTTGGTGGGAAGTCATGACCCCATCCTTGGCATTGGTCTCCTAACAGTTCTGGGAAAACCGTTCTATGACTCAGCCACGGGAAAGGTCTGACAGTCTGGCTGCCCAGGAATTGATGATAACCTGGGCCTTTGGGCTTCAGCTACCTGGAAAGTTGAAACAAACAGCGTGGAGCGCTGAATGTCACTCTTTACACAGGGGCGCTGACTCCCAGAAATAGCAGGACTCTTGTTTGCTTTGGGTTTTCTGCTCAGCTTGGACATCATCAGTTTGGGCCAAAGGTTATAGTGTTGATTATTAGCGGAAAGAGTTATAGCAAAACAACAACAACAACAAAAGGACTAAACTTTTGACACCAAAATTTCTTCTAAAGGTGGCATTCTGTGGTTAGTTTAGGATCAGAGCTCCTTATCTAGCCCTGGGTTGGTGGGGAGGGCAGAGCTCATCCTAGATAGGCTGTTGGCTCTGCCTACAGCTTTTATGAGCCAACCTTTAAAAATGTGAGGTTTGACCTTAAAAAATTTCAGATTGGTATTGCTTGGAAAAGCTGGAGATCTGTTGGCAAAAGCCGGCTTCCTACAGGGTACCATCACCCAGCAACATGAAGCAGCAGCTTCCCCAGAAGGCGGCCACTAAGGTTTATCCTTGTATCTCTCCAGCACAGGGCACTCACTGTGGCCACCTGCTCCGCTGAGGGAGGTGTTTGAGTTTCGAACATGCTGTTTAATCAACTGTCACATTATTAATTTGAAAAGCAAAAGTAGTGGTGAACCTTGAACTCTCAGAGCTGAAAACACATTTAAAGAACCACCCCCACCCTTGTCCAAATCAAATCCAAAGAGGACACTAGCCATGGTGAGGTCCTCTCGGTGACATTGGTGACAAACTGCTCATATGTGGACATTCAATAGCAGCCATTACATTGAGTTGAGTCCGAAGCAACCTAAGAAAGCATTCCTGTATTCCGAGGAAGTTTCCATCGCAAATGCTTTGGAAGGCAAGAAAGGAAGCAATAGGGAAGTGTGTTTTCTCTCAGGCCTGTGTGCATTTTCTCAACCTTAAAAACTGGATGCAAACATTGGCCGTCCCACCCTGAGCACTATCTTGTTGATCTGTGCTTCTCAGTGAGTCTAAAACGTCAAGAATGACTTTCATCTCTTTGGCACTAGGTGGGGATGGCATAGGAGGAAATGCCCTCCTCTCTCTTCGGACACGGAGAAGGAGGAAACTCCCGAGACTTTGAGGAAACATGGACGATTCTTTGCTCACGAAGCATCTCCTTTGACTTTGGAGTCTGGACCGCCATCATTCCATTTTGGCTTTTGGATCAAGAGAATGGTGAGGCTTCAGGTGCTGGGACTCAGTGTAGCCCCAGGATGCTGACATATGCTGCCCCATTAACAGCTCTGACAGAGTTGGGCTCTACTCAGCCACTTCAGACAGTCACTGCCTAATGTCTCATTCAGTTCTTAAACAACCTTGTGAGTGGGGAAACTATTACTCTCCACAGCTGACAGACGAGGCACCGAGAAGCTGAGAACCTGAGGGTTTTATCCAGAGCCTCGCAACCAGACAGGCCAAAGCTGGGGTGTGTGCCTTGTTTCGGGGACACCTTACTGCTGCATTACTTCAAGTCAGGTCTTGAGGAAAATGCACACACATTGTGAGGTTCTCTCTTAAGGTACTGATGCAAACAGACAGAACATCTCTCATTTCCTAACTGGCTAGAGCTGTGCTGCTTTACATGGTACTCACCAACCACACGGGGCCACTTAAACTTAAAATCACTAACTTACTGAAATTACAATTCTAGATCTTAGCCTCACTACATATGCTCCATAAGCTCCAAAGACCCACAGCATTAAATCCTACAGTATGTTTTGGGTGCCAACAATGCAGAACACTAGAACTTTCCATAGAAACTGTATGAGAAAGCACTGTGGCAGATGAAGAATCAGAGAGGCAAAGAGACTTATAACACACACAGTGGGACACAGGTTTTAAAAAGCACACAGTTCAGATGTCACATGTAAGTCCCTCCCTGGCTTCCTGTTCCTGCTTCCAGGACAACTCCTTTTTGTTTGCCACTGGACCCCACATCTGCCCATGGCAGGTAGCTTATCTTCGGTTTCACTTGTGCTCTGTGCTCTGTGTGTGAGAAATGGCTATCAGGACCTCCACACTCACTCAGCCTTGGAGGACTCTTCAACAGAGACACGGTTAAGAGTATAGTCAATGGACTACAGGTAGTAGGTACAGATGCTGGGCAGCTTATGTAAACTTGGACTCTGAGTGGGATCACCTGTAAAGGGATGGTTGAACTCAGAGGGTCTGCAAGTGTCTGCTCAAAGATCCTGGCTGAAATCCCATAGCCACAGCTATGGTTATTACCTTGGGGGAAATGACTTAAGGTGTCATTGTCACATAAGTCATGCTTTGTGTGTACTTCCTGGCCATTGCTGTACCCTTCAGGCTAGCTCCCACTGATAATAAGTTTTGGAAGAAAATAATAAAGCATTTAATCTCAGAAAAAGTTTGTTACTAGCTTTTTTTTATTTTTAATTTTAAATTAAAAACAAGGTTCCTTCACATGTCAATCCCAGGTCCCTCTCCCTTTCCATCCCCTCCTCCTATACCTTCCTACCAACCCTCCCAATACCACCTACCCCCTCCTTTCTCCAGGGAGGGTGAGGCCCTCCATGGGGGTGTCATTTCATCCAGGGCTGGGCCTAGACCCTCCCCCAAGAGTCCAGGGTGAGAGAGCATCTCTTATTGTGGGATGGGCACCCAAAGTCCATTTGTATGCCAGGGATAAATGCTGATCTACTAACCAAGGCCCCATAGATTGCCTAGGCCTCCTGACTGACACCTATATTCAGGGGTTCTGGATCAGCCCCATGCTGGATTCCCAGCCACCAGTCTGGGATTCAAGAGCTACCCCTTGTTCAGGTCAGCTATTTCTGGGGATTAAACTAACTCAGTCTTAACCCCTTTGCTCATCGTTAATAGGTTTTTTTTTTTAAACTAGTGTTCATTAGGGCTTTTGCCTGCATGTATGTTTGTATGAGGGTGTCAGATGTCCTGGAAATGGAGTTACAGACAGTTGTGAACTGCCATGTGGGCTTTGGGAATTGAACCCAGGTCCTATGGAAGAACAGCCAGTGCTCTTAACCACTGAGCCATCTCTCCAACGCCTATCTGTTATTAGCTTTGTGGTTTCTATATTTGCCCCTTTCTTTGGAGCAACTTTTTTTTTTAGTGTGATAACTCTCTATGTATGTAGTCCTGATTGACTTGGAACTTAATTGTGTAGATCAAACTGATCTTGAACTTACAGAGGTCTACCTGGCTCTGCCTCCAGAGTACCAATATTAAAAGTATGCACCACCATGGCTGGCTCGGGGGAAATTCAGTTTAAGACCTTGGTGGATGTCTGAAACTGTGATAGAATGCAGCTGCAAATAGTCTGCATATCCCTACGATGAAGTTTAGCCTACTGGTTAAACATGGTAAAGAGTAACTAAGAAGACAGAACAGCCACAGCAGTGCATGATGACCCAAGCTATGTGAATGTGCTCCCTGCCCCTTCCTGCTGCACTCCACACATCCTGCCTCTGCCCAATAGGATGCCCCCATGATGAGATGAGGTGACACAGCCTCATGCTCCATGTAAGGACCACTTGAGCACAAGTGCTGAGATGTTCCCATAGTGGATGCATGAGCTGGATGACCACGTGGCTAGCCAACAGGGAGTAGATACAGCAAGGATAGCCAGCCTGAGGAGGATTCATGAGTAGCAGGCAGGAGCAAGATTTCCTCCACAGAAAGGCATGCAACTTAAAACTTGTGAGACTTTTTTTTTCCTTCTAGAATTTTCCAACTGAAATTTGATCATGAGTAACTGAAACCATGGAAAGCAAAAGTGACATGCAAGGTTGGGTGTAGTCTAGATCGGTTTCCCATCAGAAGCACAAATCTCCAGTAGCAAGTGCCTTTGTCATGCTAGTCTCGATATGCTTGTAGGTCCAGCAATGGGGGAACTTATTACCTAAGGTCAGTGCTTTGCAGCTTGGACCTCCTTGTTGGACTGACTGCCACATGAGCCTGACCATCTGAATCTCTTTGCCTTTGCTGAAATAGGGCAGTGCTAGCTTTGTGAAGTTTCATGACCATCACTGGGGGTGGGGAGAGGGGGAAAATGAGCCGAGAGAATCTGACTATTAAACACATTACATGTATTTATGGTGCTCGTGCCCCAAGGCCTGGGATAAATCGGAGAAGGAAAAACATTCCACTCTGGCTCTCAGTGACCCCTGAAGGAAACCCCCCATGGAGTCATTTAGGATAGTAATTTGAGCATAGACTCCAGCATGCGTTCCTAGCCTTCCCTCCATAAACTCAGGAGCCTCACGATAATCGGCACCAAAGTGCTTGAAAATGTGGCCCAGAACCCTTCCAGATGAGGGTCGGGCTCAGAGAAATAAAAAGTTAAGGGTGCGTTGCTATGGCATTAACATGGAGGGAGTGTGCAGGGACTTCAAACTGTGCGCTGAAAGTGTGTTCTTTCTGCGTGCCATGCCCATGAAATGCTAAGCCAGCAAAACCATTAAAACGTCAGACAGGGAGCCAGGTGGAAGAAATGCATGTTTAATAGTAAACATGTAGCCCGTGGTAATTGTGTCCCTTGAAAAGTTAAAGATGGGGGAGAGAGGAACTGAGAAGAAAGCAAGCTGGGGAAGGGGGGCTGCTGGGCTCCTTCTGCCCTGTGCTGAGCAGGCAGCCATCCTTACTCAGGAAAGCTCACAAAAGCATCTCCACTCCCTCCCTTTCACTGGCGCTCTGCACCAAATTAACCAGCAGGTCCTGAGTCCCAACTTACTTCCAAAATATTAGGTTGAGTGGCACAATGTGGCCAACATTACAGTTTCTTTGGCCTATGAAAAGTGTCAATTTAGCCTAATTAAATCCCAAACTAACTCATTTGTCCATCTTCAGTGTCACCATCTGGGTGCACGTGGCTTTGTTCTCTTAAAAAATGAGTTCAGGACACTACTGCATACACAGGCAAGTGCCGCTGTGAGGGAGAGACGGGTCTGGAGAAGGTGGCATACTGGTTTCCAGTTCCTTCTCTTCCTCTGAACTGGAAAGAACAGAGTTCTTGACTGGGTGATGGTGGCATGCACCTTTAATCCCAGCACTCAGGAGGTAAAGACAGGTGGATCTCTGTGAGTTCTAGGTCAGCCTAGTCTATAGAGCTAGTTCCATGACAGCCAGGGCTACACAGAGACCCTGTCTCAAAAAACCAAAACCAAAACCAAACAAAGTTCTTGCTTGCTACTGCCTGCAGCTCTGGGGGTCTTTCTGCAGGACAGCTCTTGCTTTGCCGAAGGCAGATCTCAGGTGAGAAGCAGCATGCTGAATGAGGAGCGAGTCCTTCAGACTCAGGGCAAGAGATTGTGGGTGAAGAAACAGTGTCATCTAAGGAGAAGCTGGGGTGTAAGTTTAAGAGAAGCATTGAAAAGAGTGCACACAGTAGCTGAGAGATGGCTCAGTCATTAAGAATACTTGCTGCTCTTAACAGTGGACTTGAATTCAGTTCTCATTACCCATCTTAGGTAACTCACAACTGCCTGTAACTCCACTTCCAGGGATCTAGTGCCCTCTTCTGGCCTCTGTAGGCACTCACACACACACACACACACACACACACACACACACACACACACCAAATTGAAGGAAAAGAAAAGAAAAGTTACATACAGCCCTGAAAACATATGGTCAGAGAGGACCTGAGAAGACTTTAAGATTTCTCCTCTGGTCCCCTAACTTAGAAAATTAGTGAAAGATATCTTTTGTTAATTAATTTGCAAAGGTTGGCTGCCATGGCTGTTTTTTTAAATCAAGTATTTGATTTTCATCAACTGAGTCGCACTATGTGCAGGATAACACAGCAATAAAGTGACCCAAGCTGTTCTTGATGAAGCAGAGACTTCATATTTACTAGACAAAGACTTAAGGGAATGCCATGATAGGAGTCTTAGAAGGAGAGAGAGAAAGGGAAAGCTAGCTCATTTGAATGAACAATTGGGCTGGCTCAATGGCTCCTCAGGTAAGAGTGCTCGCTCTTCTTGCAGGAGATCTGAGTTTGGTTCTCAGTACCCATGCCAGGAAGCTCACAACTGCTCATAATCCAGCTCTAGGGAATTCATTAACTCTCTCCTGATATCCACAGGTGCTCATACACACATGTATACATACATATACACAAATATTAAATAATTCTTTAAACATGAGATAACTGAATGCCCTCCATATATGAATAATTGGATATACAAACTTCAAATTTGTTAACCTCCTAGTAAGACAAGCCCAAAAAGACTCACTTCAAGGTACTTAATCTCACTGCTGGATGACAAAGAGATTCTTCAGAGCAACATGAGAAGAAGGATTTGCCTCATGTAAAGGATTCTCATTTGAACTGGGTGCTCAGTGGAAAAACAGGATGTTGCAGGGCCATGGGACGATATCTTTAAGGCACTATACAAACTACCACCATTACCATCACTACCATCAACAAGACCCATTGGCCAAGAAATTTGTATCTAGCAAAACTATAGGGGGAGGGAGGGGACAGTGAGTCAGATATCTCCAGATGAACAGAAGCTAATGAATAATTGGGTTTGCTTTTCCTGGAGACATAAATGAGTGTCTGTTATCCACAGACAGGGCACCAATAACCACCCAATTAAAGTCTAGCTTGGGGAACCAATGAGTTTAACTAGGGTCACTTATGGGAGCATGGAGGAAAGTTACCTACAGGATCATGGGTAACTTACAGGTACCACTAAAGAAGAGTCGCTACCCTGCCTAGTAATTGCTAACTCCAACATCCTTGGTGGGCGTGGTTAAGGGTTTTGTGTATCTCATGAGCCACCTCATGAGTTCTTTGTAGCTCCTAATGTGCCACTTTGTGAGCTACTTGTATATGGTCTCATGCATTTTGTGAGCCACCCTACCCTCCATGAAGGAACGCTAGTAAGCTCAATCTTGTGACAGTCTCACTCTGATTTAAAGATAGCAACAATCACTGTGGCAGTTTGAAAAAAATGATCCCAAAAGGAGAGGCATTATTAGGAGGTGTGGCCTTGTTGAAGTAGTTATGGTCTTGATGGAGGACATGTGTAACTGTGGAGGCAGGCTGTAAGGTATCATATATGCTCAAGCTACCACCCAGAGTCTCAGTCTACTTCCTGTTGCCTGCATACTAACATATAGCAGCTCCTTCTCCAGTACCATGTCGGCCTGCATGGCATCATGTTCCTATCATGATGATAAATGACTAAACCATTGAAACTGTAAAAGCTGCCACTTCAATGAACTGTTTTCCTTCATAAGAGTTGCCTTGGCCATGGTGTCTCTTCACAGCAATAGAAACCCTAACTAAGACAGTCACGTTATGCTCTGAGGATAAAAATCCATTCTACCCCTTCCCTAACGCTTACATTCTTTTTGTCCCCCTTTCTGCAGTGTTTGCTGAGGCTGATAGAGGCTCCATCTAGGGCTGAACATTCAATAGTCAGGTGCTCTTAACACTCTGGCCATGCAGTCATCTCTGCAGTAACAGCTCCCCTCTCCAAAAAGAAGCCAGTGTGACCAGGTACAGCATGAACAATGATCTATGGGAAGATCACAAATTTTTAGAAGGAAATTTCATAGGCATGTCTTATCCACTCAAGAAAACAATAGCAATTGCTTCCCTTTAGGGTTTATGACCTGTTTAACCAAGGGCTTTTGCCCTGGTTTACAGTACCAGGCATGAGTTTTCTCTGCGGTCTTAAAATCTAGAAAGCAGTTGGTTGCACCTGTAACTATTGTGCCAGTGTTGCACAAGTGATCACATTTCATCTGGAATGTTGATGGCACAGCACTCAGGATCCACAGCTGAGAAGGATTATTGGATACATATCCCTAAGATGTCCACCTTAGTCCCAGCTTGATTTCTTTCATTTTTAAAAAATTACATCTCTCTGTTGTATGTGTGTATGTATGTATGAATGTATGTATGTATGTATGTATATATGTATGTATGTATGCATGTGTAGATGCACATATGTGGAAGTTAAAGGACATCTTCTTGGAGTTACATTCTTATTTTACCATGTGGGTTCCAGAGACCGATCTCAGGTTTTCAGGCTTAGAAGCAAGCATGTTTACCTACTAAGCCATCTCACTATCCCCTATCTTCAGCTCTTTCAACCAAAGCATGTGATATCTTTAGCAATAGGTCTTACTGTCTAGTTCTGCCATTCAATTAACACTAGTAATAATAGTCTTTATGGTTTGTGGCTTCAGGGTCTTCTCTAGCTGTTAGCTTATATCAGTAGGGAACCCAGGCACTGGGATTTTCCCTTAACAATCTTATGACTCCTGGAAAGTGTCTTCTGCCACACAGTGTCTGTGTGCTTTATTTCAAATCCTTCAATTTTTTGAAATGTTCTTGTAGGTGTTTCCCAAGATCTATAAGACATCCGAGAGTTAATACTACAGGGGAATAGTTGGGGATGAGTAAGAATAAAATATATTGCATGGAATTCTTAAAGAATTAATAAAATATATTTTTAGAGTAGATAGCATTACATAGTGAAACCTTTTTACAGAGAGTAGACAGGATCTCTGAGAACTCATTGGCCCATTCCAAACAAATGCCAATTGGTCTTGGGAGGCTAAGGGGATACCAATGTAAAACATTAGTAAGGGCCAAGAAAGCATGAAAAGATTTCATCCCTTGTATCAATTTTTTTCCTTAAAAGAGTGTATGGGGTATAAGATCAGGATGGGAGACACTGTCTCCATCCATGTTCTCCATGACGCATCTGGCCTGCTCATCCGCTGCTTTGGGACTGCCAGGTATCTCCCCATTCCTCACAGACTTGGCAGGGATAGCTCTCACTACTTGGCCTGGCCCAGGGCCAAGGGGAACAAAGCCATGCTCTGCTGGAATTAGTTCCTGGGGTCTGACAGGCTCTGGCTATCACCGTGGCTGCCACCTCTCCTGAAAAATCTCCAATCAGGGTGAAGTCTCCACCCCTAGGATACTTTCTTGCAAGGAGGAACGTATGTAGCTGTGCTGAGGAGGGAGAGAAGTGCCCACTCCCGGGACAAGTTTGGTCTCTCTCATTCTGTTATTGACTCCTTCTTTCACTCCTTTGGTGGCCAGTTGCTGAGGCCCTAAAGCCTTCCAGAGGCTCATCTCAGGACATTTGGCTTTCTGTTAAACTTCCTGGAGGACTATGACCAAACACAAATCTTGCTACATTTGTATGAGTTGGACAGGCACTTTTCTGCTTTTCCTTTTCCACTCAATGATCTAGTACCTTACTGTGGTGGTTTGAATTGCTATGGCCTCCAAGAGACTTGGACCCATAGGGAGTGGCTTTATTAGGAGGTGTGGCCTTGTTGGAGGAAGTGCGTCACTGTAAAGGCGGGCTTTGAGGTCTCCTACGCTCAAGCCATGCCCATGTGACAGTCTCTCTGCTGCCTGCATATCAAGATGTAGAGCTCTCAGCTCCTTCTCCAGCACCATGTCTGCCTGCATGCTGCCATGTTTCTGGCCATGATGATGATGGACCAAACCTCTGAACTATAAGCCGCCAGTCCCAGTTAAATGTTTTCCTTTATACAAGTTGCCATGGTCATGATGTCTCTCCACAGCAATGGAAACCCTAAGACACTTAATAACTCAGTTACACAGTGATGTAAATCATTCAGATCTGCCAGGAGTCTCCTATCTTATAAAGCATATTGGCTCACCACAAGGCACAGCAGAGCCACCGAAGTTTCATATCGGAGTTCCAAGATGCTGGCCGAATAGACTACTTTTCCGTTCTCCTGTGATCACAGCCCTATAAGACAGTGAACTGGGCATCAAACACTGCTTCTTTTTTACCTGGTTCCTCAGTAATGCTTGTCCCTTCTCATATGCAAGGGGACTTCAGCAGGTAGTAATAGTTGAAACTGTTCATTGCAGTCCGTGCAAGGCTCTTTCATTTCTTATTTAGAAACCTTTCCCAGTCCAGTGAGATGTCTCAGTGGGTAAAAGGGCCTGTCCTCAAGCCCCATGATAGGTTCCATTCCCAGAACTCACTTGATAGTAGGAGAGAACTGATTCTCACAAGTTGGCCTCTGACTTCTTTGTGTGCTGTGGCACATGTGAACCCAGATATATAGGCAAACAGGCACACACACACAGACGTGCACACAGGCACACACACAGAGATACACACACTCAGGTGCTTGCATGTGTGCGTGCACACACACACACACACACACACACACCTTAAAACCTTTCCTAATTCAGAAGCAATTCAGAGGCCAAGTATTCCCTGATTACCATAGTTTCCTGTACCTGGTCCTGTCTGCAAACTGAAACATAGATCTTTTAGTTTCTCTCCTTGTAAATGTCAGCTCTGAGAGTTATCGTCTGCCATTTCTCCCCTGCTCTCTTCCTCTTCAGTCTGACTTTTAGTTATCTTTCCAGTCAAGGCGCTAAAACACATTGAAGTGCAACTTAAGGAAGAAAGGCTTTGTTTTGGCTCTTAGACTGAGGTCCAGCCCATCATGCCAGGAAAGTCACAGAAGTAGGAGCCTGAAGCAGATGGACCCGTTCCTTCTACAGGTAAGAACCAGGGTAATTTGTTTTTGCCTTCAGCTCACTCTCCCCTTTTTATACAGCTCAAGATTCCATCCTAGGTGCCACCCACAGAGGTCAGGTTTTCCCACCTCAAATTAGCCTAATCAAGACGATTCCCCCAGACACGCCCACAGATCCACTTCTTGAATGATTGTAGAGCTCATTAAACTGACAATTAATCAAGATGAACAATCAGATTTGTACTTTCTTAAGAAATGGTATGTCTTTAGAAATGGCAAGCTGGGCTGGAGAGAGGGCTCGGTGGCTAAGACCACATGCTGCTTTCCCCTAAGAAGCAGGTTCGATTCCCAGCACCCACATGGTGGCTCACAAACATCAAAACTCCTGTTACAGGGGATCTGATGCCCTCTTCTGGCTTCCAAGGGCACTAGGGATGAAAGTAGTGCATGGATGTGCAGGCAGGTAAAACCTCACAGACATTTAAATAGAAAGAAATGGCAAGCCAATAAGTATCTCTACCTCACCCCACCCAACCCCAGTCTTTCACTTCCCGATTCAGAAACCAGTTTGAAGAATGGTGATGGGGGATGTCCTTTTGTATGTTTCTCTTACTGGTTGATGAATGAGACACTGATTGGCTAGTATCCAGGCAGGAAGATACGTGGTACGACCAGATGAGGAAAAGGCTGGGGAGAGGAGACAGAGAGGAGCGGTGAGAGACGCCATGCTGCCGAGGGAGTAAACGTGTCAGATTACAGGTAAGCCACAGCCTCGTGGCAATACAGAGATTAATAGAATTGGGTTAATGATTAAGAGAGAACTAACCCATAAGAAGCCTAAACCATTGGTCAAACAGTTTAATAATTAATATAGCGTCCGTGTCTTTATTTGGGGCAGAATGGCTGCGGGACCGGGTGGACAGAAACCTCCATCTTCAGAATAGCACCCGCATGTCTTGCTGAGCAGACAACTCAGCATCAGTTGCATATTCTGGTTATTATCTCGTCTCATGTGCGTTACTTTCAGATACTACAATGCATTCTTCGTACCCATCATCTGTTTAGGGGAATCTCCCTATGCATTTGATGGACCCTATTTATCAAGAAAGCATGACACCCCCACATTACTTAAAGGAAAATCTGCTGGGATTCTTCCAGCAAACATTCCTCTTTCAGGCAGAGGAGTCCTAGTTGCATGTCTTTTCACCCAACAGTAGCCATAAGGCAAGTTCTCCTTTCAAACTCAACTTTGGGTGTGTCGTGTTCTTGTTGAGGTTGGCGTTAACTTTCCCCGAGGACACATAAACAAACATGTACAGAAAAGAGGGCATTAAAGACAGACCAAAGAAAATGTTCTACCCAAGTTTAGTTTGATGAACTAGACTGGGGTAACTTATGGCTGATTATACTCCCTGAAAACAAAATCTTCGTGGCCATTAATTTCTGACTACTTATTTATCCATGGAGCGAGACGGAGCTTCACGTGCTTCTAAGCTCTTGTCAGTTGAAACCTCATGCACGTGTTCTGCAAGCCTCATGAACCCCTAGGCTGCTGCCTAGTGTGCTGTCCTGTGAGCCCCTGGGGCATGCGTGCCTTCTGCACTGCTAGTGTGATGCCTCAAGCATTCTGCTTCTCTCCATGAGGGAGAGTCTTGTGTCAATTCAGTGAGTGTCACACAATGATAAACACAGCTTTTCTGACTTCAGGATGGCAGCAGCCATGCCATTCATGCCTAGGAGACAGAGGTCTGCAACGTTTCGCTCTAGACACATGCTGTTTGGAGTCCTTCACACTGAAATGAAAGGGACTGTTGAGTAACTCAAAACTGTATGAAATGGGAAGATCTCCTATGAATATCTGAGCAAATACGAAAACAATCACTAAAGCCGGGCATGGCTGTGAATGCCTGTTATCTCAGAACTTGGGAGGCAGAGGCGGGGGTGCACTGAATGCAAGGCCTGCCTACACCGTGTTCTAAGATCCTGTTCCAGAGCAAGCCCTTCACACACATGCATCTCAGAACAACAACATGTTAAACTTTGTTAAATTGGTATGTAATTATACTTCTCATTTTGTAGGACTCAAAAGATGAACAGAATAGTCATAAATGTGGTAATTATTATACAACATACAACGATACAATTTGGGGCATTAATAACTAGGGACAAGGATGGAGCTCTACAGCTATATAGCTTTTGAATGCAGCTTTTGTGACTGGAGTTAATTTGGTATCAATTCAAAATAGATTGTTGCACATTTAGATGTGGAACCTAACTTCCATGTTAGCCACATATGTGTAGAATATAGCCAAGAGGAGATAAGAGAGTGAAAATATGTCATTAAAATATCAAGTAAGCAAAAAATATTAGAACTACAGTCCCCTAAAATTAAAAGGGAGATGCAAGACAAATAGCTACTAGGGAAATCAAATAAAATGGCAGAAGTATCTTATTTCTCAATTATTATTTTAAATGTAAATACATTAAACTTCTCAAAGAAAGGTGCACATTGGGAAAATGGTTTCAAACACATGACCTAAGTGCTTTTCATCAGAGACTCACGATAAATCTAGATATACACACAAACTGAAAACAAAGGATAGAGGTGGTTATGTAGATCTAAGGTGGTTAAATTGATATTAACCAATGAAACCAAAAGTTGGTTGTTTGAAAAGATTTACTAAGCTAGCTAAGAAAAAGTGAAAATACGTTACCATGTTTTTTTTAATGAAGGTAGTTACATTACTACTGATTTTATAGTAATAAAAATGACAGACAGTACTGAGAGCAATTGTTTTCTTAAAATTTGAGTTACTTAGATGAAATAGACAAATTCTAAGCATGAACATAACCCATTTAAGGCTGATAAGGAAGAAATTGAGAAAAGACTATAGCTAGGGAGAGGGTTGTCAAAAATCAACTCCCCCCATAGAGAAAAACCTTTCTCCAAATGGTTTTGATGGTGAATTCAATCAACCAGAAGATTAATTAGCACCCACATGTATTGATTACTTTTCTTGTTGCTGTGATAGCAACCTGACAAAAGTCACTTCAGGAAGGAAGGGTTTAATTTGGCTCAGAGTTGCAGATGATGCAGCCCATCATGGCAGCAAAGGAATAAGGACAGGATCCTCACATCCACCATCAAGAAACAGAGCAACCAGTGTTGATGCTTAGCTGACTTTCTCCCTTTCATGCAGCCCAGGGCCACAACCCAGGAGGTGGTGCCGCTCAGTTATGATGGGTCTTTTCACCTCACCTAGGCTACCCTGATTTAGATGACCTCTCACAGCAACACCTTGAGGCTTGTCACTGAAGTGATACTAGATCCTGTCAACCAGACATCATTGACATCATTCCTCCTTCTTTGGTTTCTTCCAATAAACTGAAGAGTGGAGACTATTTCCTTAATCAGTGAGGCCAGAATAAACCTGATAAAACTGAAACCAAACAAAGAAATTGCAAGAACACTTAAACTTGCATTCCTCATGACTATTGATCCTCAAGGAAATACAGCAGGCATGGCTTTTAGTTCATTCCACATGTTAGAACCCATAATTTGAACAATTATTAGGCAGAGAAAACTCTGGATAGAAAGGTCATAGGTCCCAGGAGGCAACCTATTAGTACTCTGCTAATAGGGCACAGTATTAAATCAACTCCTAATGAATTCTCCTTATATGCATATATTAGTGCATCTCTCAAACCTCATCACAGAAGCTTCTTTTTGCAGTAGACAGTGACTAACACAGAGACCCAGAAGTGCTCAGTGTGCAGAGAATAAGAGACTGTAGAATGTTCCGTCTCAAATGGGACATCTATAGCATTTCCTTTTCTCCCAAGGCTCAGGGACACCGCAGAAGAAGGGCAGAAAGATTGTAAGAGACAGGGGTGGTGGTATTGGGTCTAGAAAACACTGTTTACTTGTGGGTCATTGGATGTTGACATAATAGATCCAGTTGTACATATAAATTAACAGTGGTTGTGACAGCGTGCACAAGACCTGTGCAAACTAAAGCCAGACAAAACCCAAGGGTGGGTCTGGCAGGTGGTCATGAAGGCCCACCCTAACTGAGGAGCTATGGGAAGCTGATGGCTGCCAGGAGAGAGAGAGAGGGAGAGAGAGACAGAGAGACAGAGACAGAGAGACAGAGACAGAGAGAAACAAAGAGAGAGTTGTCATTCTTTAAGGGTGTGGCCTAGGGTAGATTTAACACACTCCAAGGGATGGCCACATACCCAAGAGTGAAAGGCAGCACTAATGACTTAAACACCAATCAACCAGAAAACATTAAGGACACAAAGTTGGGTAGGTATGGGATGGGGGTAGATAGAGGAGATAAGGGGATGAACATGATCAAAACACAATGTATGAAATTCTTGAAGCATTTCACACAAAATATATAAAGAAACTCTCAAAAAAGTTAAATACAAGAATATAAAGCAGATAAAAATAAAGACATAAAAAAAGAAGGAAGGGGTAAAAAAAACACACCATCACCTCAGCTGATGCAAGGATGCATTTCACAAAACCAACACCCCCACCTGACAGACACTGAGCAGGCTAGGAATAGAGAGAAACTGTTGACATCATAAAGTCATGGCTGACTTCAGACTTCAGATTAAGCAGTGAAAGATGATGATTTTCCCTGTGAAAGACAAAAAAGACAGAGAGTCTTACCTCTATAGTTTCTGTTTAAGAGGCTATTGTGGCTACTAGAAAAAGCCATTAGCCCTTAAGAAGTAATACAAGCATCCTGATTAGACAGGAGACAGTAGAATCACCTCTGTTTGCGAACGCACTCTCTCATTTACAGAAAACAGATAAGAGCCACGGAACAAACCAGTTGTTAGAACTAAGAAGTGACTCAGCGACATAGCGGGACAGTAAGTGAGCACTGGGAAATCACTTGTGTTTGCATGCACTAGCTGTGAACAGTCTAAAAAGTATGAAAACAATTCATAATAACATCAAAAATTGTGTAATGGGGGGCAAGCAGGACCACCCACAGCAGAGGAACTCCCAGTGGTGAGACAAGGGTCTAGGAGCTGGGGGAGGAACGGCAGAGAACCTAGACAGAATCCAGCACCCAGGCCCGTCAGCATTCGCTTCACACGCTTCCAGTCCACCCCCAGCTCTCGTTCCACACACGCTACCTTTATTTAGCATCCAGTTCATCCGGCTAGTGCGGTCCTGTTACGTTCTCATCTTATATTTCCACTCTATCCTCTCTTTACTCTCCCCTTTCTCTTCCTTTCCTGTAGCCTGGCCTGCTTAGCAGGAGCCCTGCCCTCAGCCTCCTGAGAGCCAGGTCTGTTTCCTGTGACCTGGTTGCATCTGTTTGCCGCCTTTCAGTCCATCTTTAGCTCAAACCCCCTCTTCTCCCACTCTTGTTTATGTGTAAGCGCCTGCTTCTACCTATGCTCTTTGCCTTCAGCTTCTACCAATTCACTACTTATAGTCTCCCTACATTTTATCTTCCCTTTTTTTTTTCACTTACTTTCCACTCATACCCCAAAATTGTATATATTAATACATAAAGTACCGTCAATGTCCATTTACTCCCTATGATAATTAACACTTCAGACGTGATTGCCATTACTTTAGTTTATTCCTGCCTCATAACACTTGATGCAGTTACTCTCAGAGGAGGAAGGGGATACAGCCTGTTGCCCTGAAAGCCAGTGTACTAAAGGAAAACAGTACCTCATTCCTACTATAACCCAGTCCTTCTTAAACACTGCAAACACTTCTGTCA